ATAAAACATGTACCCGCTATAAGTATTAATAAAAAGCTCGGACCAAAGAGGTCACCTTAATACCGAAAAAAAAAAATAAATTTAAATTTTTATTTATTTGGCTATTTAAAAATTACTAAACTTAATTTGATTAACAAAAAAAAATTTTAACGGTTAAAATTTTTTTTTATAATTATTGTATAGTCGTAAAAAAAAAAAAAATTAGCAAAATTTTAAAAATCTTTCATAGTAAGCCAATCATATAGTACGTACTACATTATAATAGTAAATCATTTGATATCTAATACCCCAATACGAGATAAATGTCAGAAATAAGGCAATCCAGTTTAATTACATCTGGTTATATCGACTATTGTTTTTTGATAAATTTCATTAATTTTTTTATATTTTGTCGAAACAACATATGTAGCTAGTTATGTAGTAATTTCATTGGGTAGTTTCGAGGACCGATCCTGAGCCGGTCCTTAAAACGGTCCCACGGTCCTATCAGTTCCGGTTCTAGACCGGTCTTTTGTAGAACCGATTCAGAAGATATACGCAGAAGGTATATGCAGAAGAAAGGTGCAGAAGTTTTAGAAATTGGCTAAATATATTTAAGTCACACATATTTAATAGAGATGGATCTATGCATTTCATTTATCAATTACGCAATTCTTTCATCAAAGTATATATAGTTCTTCTGTATGAAGTCATCTCTAAACAGTATAAGGTTTCGTGTTACATTCTTAAATTGCAAATTCAAAGACCCTGAAATCAGCCACTTTGAATTCACATTTGTGGGTGTAAAGCAATCTGGTTACAGCAGGATAGCGTAAAGAATATACGTAAATATTTGCTACGTAGAATTAAGAAGTCGCTAGCGTTAGTACCTAACCAATATCGATATAATGTCGTGTTATTATTACATCCTGACGTTCTTTGATCATGGTCGTAGAAATTGACTAATCAGAAATCGGGAAGCAGGAAAGTATCACGTGCAAATTGATAAATAGAATAATATGCAATGTGAGTCAAAAATTAAACACAGTTATCTTTGATAAAAAAAACGAGTTTTCTTATTGTACATACTGTATTAAGTTTCTCGCATCTTTAAGTAACGGCTAAGTAATCAGTTGGTAGCAAGATGGCTATTTCGACTTTTTCTTGTTATTCAATTGTCAAGGCTGGACGATTGGCTATCAATCACCAAACAAAGAATAAAATCTGTTCACAAGGCTATCGGAACCAATTTTATCCTTTCTTTTACGCAAATGAAACATTTAAAAGAAACGTGTTAATCAATTGAATGTATAACAAATAAAAAAATAGTTGTACCATGATCTAGATGTGACTACCCCATCATGCATTTTTGTTATTAAAGTTACGTATATAAACTTACGACTTTTCCTTTCTTCAATGATAAAGTCTTTTCTCACGAACCATAAGTTTTAATTATTCATTAAAAATTAATATACATGTAAAATAGATTATCATAATTCTTATTACCTTGGCTGTGCCGTTAATTTATAATGAAATTATTTTCAAAATTTTCTATTCCTACCTTACAATTTCAAGTTTCACCACCACCTCCTAGTAAAAACTTTACTGGGACACTTTATCCAAGTCTATCTCGAGCGGCTACTGCTAGAGGTGCTGCTGCTCGTCATAGTATAATATCTACTGAGTCTAACAATGAAGTTGAAGTAAGCTCTTGGTCTTCTCTTGACGATCCATCACCCGTTAAAGAGATTATACCTTTAACCGCGTTTTGCGATGAGCAAGAGATTCACAGAGTTACACTCAAGATTTTACAGCAATGTATTGACTTTTTAAAAAGTTTGCCTAACGATGAGAGTTATGTATTTGAAAGCAACTTTATTCCTTCAAGTACTATTGGAAAACATGTTAGGTATTTATTTATTTCTTTCTTTCTATTGTCTTTATTCAATCTAGTATTACTAATTACTAATTAATCTATATATTATATATATTATATATATTATATATTATTTAAAAAATTATTAGACATATATATGATCATTTTCGTTTGTTATTTGAATCAAAGCCCTTAATATCAAAAAGAGCCTCAACCATTGAAGATGAATTTAACAATGAAGAATATAATGATTACGATTCAGTAGAAACGATAAATGAATCGCATAGTTGGAATGTTGATTATGACAATAATCGAGATCGTTGTGTATGTTATTATATGTTTATGTGTATACGTATTATCAATATGCTTGCATTCATTACTTTTTACCGGGTATTAACAATTCACGTGACTCCAATATCAATAGGGTCCAATAGAAACATCACGAGAAATTGCTATAAAACAAGTTTTGAAATTACAGTCAACTATTATTAGCGATTGTACATCCATACCATTAAATACTATTATAGATCTAAATGCTACGGTCGACGTTGATATGTCAAATGGAGCTTTATCTTTACAATCTACATATGGTAGAGAATTATGGTTTTGTTGTCTCCATGCAGTAAGTTTTTATAACTATTCGTTAATTATTTTACTATTACTTGATTATTATTAATTTTAATTCACATGGTTTTTTTTTTAGATTCATCATTATGCACTTATCAAAGTCATATGTATAGAACAAAATATTTCGTGCCCACGAGATTTTGGTCTTACACCTTCCACAATCCAAAGTATTGAGTTACCCGGAAAATTTATAAAGGAATAATAAATTATTAGTATCATATAAATATGAAATAACGCCCAGGAGTGTAATTTCAACTTTTGGCCTGCATAAAACTTAGTACAGGCTGAAATTCGAAATTACACCTTGGGCGTTATATGATGTAAATAATAGGTTTTATGAGTTTTTATGGGTTTGTGTAAAAAAAAAAAAAAAAAAAAAAAATTTATTTGGTATAGATGAATGTTATTTTGTACCTATAAATTAAATTCATAAATTTATTATTGTATTCATTATTGTATATTCTTGTATGTATAAAAATGAATAAAAAAAAAAAGCTTTTGTCCATTTCCTGGTTTATTTTACTGATTCATTTTACTGATTCCCGGTTTCTGATATAATCTAATTTTTTGTTAAATTCACAATGTTTTAATGTTGTCCAATTCTTTGTTAAATTTATCTAATTTCGGGTTAAATTGGTAATAATGCAAGTTAAACTTTCTATTGTTCAATTGTTACTCAAATTATTTAATCCCACCGAAACTTTAAAAAAACATCTTTGTGTTTAGCATTAAAGGCGAAGGCAAAAATAAGGTTTATTTTTGTTGTACAAAAAAAGCCACTTGCTATTGACATTTAATTTACTAAAAATATGATTGTAGTTGCCAAAAAAAAAAAAATAAATAAATAAACTTTGATTATAATTGCTACTTCAAAATATTGTAAATTATTTGTCAGCGATAATATTAGTTATAATAGTATCAGATATTTTAATTATTTGATTAATCATTACCAGATAAAGACAAGTTCCAAAATCTCAAATTTCACATACAACTCGGTGCAAATGCTAATCCTGTTAACGTTAACCTGTTAAACAATTATTATGGTCGTTATGATGGAAAATTCATTATCTCGTAATTTAATTTAACAGTTAACTCAGTTAACTATTAAGAATACATAATATGTATAAACAAAAAGTACAAATACATATATATCATTGAACTAAAACATTTAACCAAAATTGACATATTGAACTTATGCATTAAACTGACACATTGAACTTATGCATTAAACTGACACTTTGAACTGATACATTTAAAAATGACACATTTGAACTAACACTTTAAAAATGAAACATATGAACTGACACGTTGAACTGACATGTTGATTGATAAATACTTAGCCAGCAAGTAAGGATTTTTATTTGTGTTTGTGATTCGATTTGATTCGCAATTATTAGAAGAAATTTTCTTTTTTTTTTTAAATCTTAAAACACCAAAAACTAAATTGTAAAGATTCTATATACAAAAAAAAGGTTCAAAAAATTTTATCAATATTTACAAGAGAATTTTGTTTATGATAAAAGCTTTAAAAAGGAAAAATTATGGGTACTAAATGTGTTTATTGTGATTCTGCAAAAAAAATAGTCAAAAAATTTTTTTTTTTATATATTTCTTAGAGTTGCTTAAGTGTAATTTTTTAAATGTACGTGCGATTTTCGCACAAAATATACCATATGAAAATTAATCTATAAATTGAACGATTTTTGTTTGAAATTTTATCTGCAAGTCGCATTTGTAGAATGTAATTTTTTTTGACGAAATGTAGTGCATAGAAAATGATAAATATATATATATATGCATATATATATGAAAGTCTGTGATTTGTACAGTATATAAGATATAATTTTGTAATCCCAATTATAGGGACAGTACCGAATAATAGGAAAACAAAAGAACCGAAGATGAAATGTTAAAATATGCAATCAGTTTGAAGGATATGATCATCCATTATAAGGTCACCACATTTCAAACTGATTCCTAATTCATCATTAAAACATTTAATTAAATCAGGTTGACTAGTTGCCAATGTGGATAGAGAAGAGGAAGAACCCGTTGAAGAGGAGAAACAATGGTCATAATCTACCAAAAAATCTGACGGAGGAGTCGAAAAATCCATCTCACTATTCATTGAATACCACGAACACGCAGTAGCAGATGAACTCGAGGATGAATAATTATGTATCTCACGTGGAGCAACAGTTGATATGGGCATATCGCAAATATTAATAAACTCCTCAACTTCTTGAGTGGTCTTTACATCATCGTCATCATCAGATATAGTAAATTTTTCACAAGCCAACACACGTTCTTTAAGCTCCTTTAACGTTATGCGTTTTTCAGGATTAGGATTAAAAATATCTTTTAAGATTTCATTTAGCTCATCCGAAAGTGGAAGTATAGTCTTTAAAAAATCACGATCTTGAAGATACATGGAAAAGGTTTCATCACGAAGACAAGCTTGTTTCCATGGATTACGACCACAAGTGATATTAATTAGAATAACACCTAAGGACCAAACATCATTTGGAGCAGTCGCATAACTTCGTACTTGTTTATGAAGACCACCTTGACATTCTAAAATAATATATATATAAATGGTTATGAGTTTAAATGATATTAAAAAATATATATATACATATATATATATAAATATAAATAAATATTCGAGGACTTACCAGGACTCATATAAAAGGTAGACCCACAACCGAAATCTTTTGACCAGGTATCGGTAGTAGCCAAACCAAAATCGGCAAGTTTGACAGTTCTTCCAGAATCAAAAACAAGGATATTTTCAGGTTTTAGATCACGATGATAGATACCATTATAATGAGCAAACTGAACGGCATCCAAAATTTGCACGAAAACTTGTTTGATAAGATTGTCATTTCCAAGGTAACCACCTTTTTCGGTAATCATTGAGAATAAATCACCTTCAGGACAATATTCAAGAACAACGTTCAAGGAATCATCAGTATCAATAACGTTTTCCAATCTTATGATATTTGGATGACCAGAAACCTGTGCATGAAGGTTAATCTCAGTCGCATGTAATCTTTGTTGTCGCGCATCTATGTTAACCTTTGGCATACATTTTACAGCGTAAACGCGTCGATTGATATGTCTTGCGGAGTAGACCACACCGTATGCTCCTATGCCTAGGATATTAGTTATCTCTAAACGGCCATTATCGATGAATTTACCAATACGTTCAGAAGGGTCGAAGTAATTTTCTATTAATGTGGTCATTATTTTATTTCAACAAGACAAAAAATCAATCTAGCGTAATTAAATCTAATGTAATTAGATGTAATTAGATTTAATTAGATTGGGATTATTATTAACAACCTAAATACTATAATTAAATGAAAGGGGATTAAAAAATGGTTGAATATAATGATAAACGGTTAATAAAAGAATTTTTTACAAGAGATGATTGCATTTATATGATTAATTTGATTCGATCGCTAACGCGAAATATAAAATGTTGAAAGCACGTGAAAATGTCAAACAATTAATGGATTAATAGAGAAGAGTCCATGCGACAAAGAAAAAAAAAAAAAAGATAAAAGCGCCTTTATAGGGAAATGACAAAAAAAAATTTGCCTGAGTGAAAAAAAATAATAAACGGTAACAAAAGGTTTTTATATATAAGATTTTCAATGGAAGGGATCTGGATCTAGGGGTTTACAAAGTAACAAGTGGGAACAATATGAAGAAGTTACAAAGCAATATAAAATAAAATAAAAAAATAAAATTATAATAAGTATAATAAACTATAATAAAAATAACTATAACTATATAGTAAAAACGTATAAAAAAATAAGATCATTAAAATACCGTGACAAATAATGCAGATTTATTTTTTAAAATACTACATATATAAGTGAGATGATTATTCAGATGACTTTTATTTTGTTATGTAAAATTCATCACATCTATTCTGATATGTATAATGAGGTATAATGTGTGAGAATAATGTAAAAAACCGGCTATTGAGTCATGTGATACAAAGCCACACTATCTTTAGCAAATGATTGCGTCAATATTTACATCACATAATTTAAGACAATCTGTGCATCGAAACGAAACGAGAGGTAATTTCCGTGCTTTTGAAACTTTCTAATTTATTTTAAGGTAATATGAAAATTTTTATATATTTTATTAAATTTAGTAGTTTTCATGCAAGTAAAAGAAAGATTATTTCCAAAATCAAACATTTTCATAAGAATAGACATAAGTAACTAACTCTCTTCTTACTTAATAGTTAACAGATTCAAAGATAAGTGAAGAATACTTTGTATACTTGGTATATTTTGTATACTCTGTATATTCTGTATACGTACTCTGTATACCTTGTATGAGTTAGCAAATTTATTTTTTCGTGTAAATATTATAATTCTGTGGGGAAACAAAACATTTGTGCTGTGGACAATAATCTAAGCATTTTATTACTACATTTTTTTCCAGATCGGGATTGAGTATATAAGTCAGACGATCTTGGTGACTATTACGAAAGAATCGATATAGATGGATTTTCCATCGCAAAAGTACATTCTCACGCTTTTTAGATAATTTAAAGATTTTCTTTTTTGGAATCAAATATTTCTTTTCCTGTTCGGCTGGTTGAAATACGTGTCGATTACTGTATGTTAAAGGTCATTTGATGTTCATGAATATAACTAATTCGTCATTATACATCAAATAGCTAATAGATGTTACATTTGACAGACTATATTTATGTACATACTACGTATGCACTGTGCAATTTATGCACACCAAAAAAATAAATGCCGGTTTTTAAATCTAGAATAGATTAACAAACACCCCCCCACACCTTTTTGTCTCAATGTAATACTTTAGTAAAACTTTTTTTTCTGTACATGCGTTCTTTTTTTTTCTCTCTGAGAAACTCTTTTATTGGATCTATACTTTATTAGTCACCCTGCATTTTAGAACAATTATCTCTTAAAAAACCTGTTTATTCTTTAGACGTTAAAATTTTTAATCCTGCTTTCTAATTTCTTCAGCAAATTTCTTTTCTCAAATCATTTATTCATCATTGTCTCTGTCTTATCACTCAAATATTTATTACTATTTACCAAACTTAGGCATGATTCAAAAAAAAAATCTTATTCTTATTTGGATTTTATTATTAGTACAATGTCATTCATCGATAATTGATCTTCTACCTGCTGACCTACGGTACGTACACGTACGTATCCTTATTATTAAGTAAAGTATGAATCACCCGAGATTTCATTTTTTTTAGTAAAATAAAAAAATCCTTTTGATGCCCATTTCGAAAAAAATATCACCTTAACATGATGGCGTGCTTGAGCTATTGCTTTCAATAAAAAATCAGTAATGCCTTAAAAAAAAAACTCTATCCTTATTTAACCAATCATTTGATGCAATACCTTTTTTTTTTTACTCATACTTTTTTTCACCGCTGTACATCCAGTTATTATATAAAGCCATCCACATGAATAATACCTCTTCAAGACCGGATTCACGTTTCACATTTACGATAGGTGCATTTGGATTAATTACCAACCTTTTTTTCTTTAGTTTGTAATATCTTTCCATCTAAGATTGGCATTATTTATTGTAAATATCTTACGTTTTTTGGTTTTTTCTCAAGTCCATTTTTCTATTTTGGTCTTTTGAAAAACATTTTGTGTATTATTAAACAATATGTGAATTTTCATTTTTTGCTTCAAAAAATATGGCTGAAAACGCATTTTCATGCAGGGGCTACTTTTTTATAAGAAATTGATAAAAAAGTAAGTTTTTGATAAGAGTTCATTATTATTGAGTACAAAGAATTATAATTACATTTTATAATCATGTTTATCTTGTCCAAATTTTATTCAATTGTATTGCTTCTAGAATTTTTCATAATCGGTCGGATATTTATCTGTTATCGTTATTAATTTTTTAATTGTTTCTTATTATTAACCTGTACATTGTGGCGGTCGAATGTATCATTCAACTACGTATGTATGTATGTGCGTAAAATTTACTGTTTTATTTTTATTTCTTTTTTTCCGATGTAATAAATCGTTTTTTTAGATTACCAAAATATTCTTATACTAACCAATGAAATTTTGTGTCACATATAAACTAGTTGTTATTCTACGTATTAATTTTTCTTCAAAGATTTAGAAGCACAAAACAATGTTACGTAGCATAAAAGTGGGTTAAAACCAACAATGTTCAACATTTTATACTTATAGTCGAGAAATAACACACCTATTTCAAGACGTTCATATGCGTTATTTCGAAATAAATTATAAATTTATACAAGGTGAGAGTTATTTCGGCCGTTATTTTAAATCAAATAACCTTTTTTTTAAAGGATACGATTGTTATTTCGTTATTTCGCAATTATATGGTAATAATGATAATCACTAATGTGCAGAATTTTAATACATAGTAATTGTTTGTTAAAATTAGAATTAAGGTTAGAAATTAGGGTAAGATTAAAAGCTAAAAGTTGTGCTAAAATAAGATTAGGGTGAGTTTTTGGAACACTGAGTCTTATCAAATATTAATTATTTAACTAGTTTTTGAAATATAGCAACTGTGGCGTTAAACACCACTGACGTGATTTAACAAAGCCGTCTAATTATAGATCGAAAAATGGACTGACCAGACTAGTTAAACCCTATGAAGTTATTCTTGAAACAAGGACAAGTCATTTGTTTTATGCTATTTTTAATCTAGTGATTTGAATTGAGCAATAACGTTAAAATTGTTCAGGATCCAATCTAAAAAAAATTCGCTACCAGCATTAGGATTAGGGCTTGTATCTTTTGACTTTACTTTGCATCTGATATTAAATTTTAATTTGGCCAGATTGTTGAGTGGTTCTAGGGTCTTAGCTTTCACCAGGTTGACACAACTGCAACCCGATACCCAACCTACTTGTAGAATGACTATTCTATTAAATAATTAATGTATTAATTTATCAGTCTTGTATAGAATTTTATTTTATTTTATTTTTGTGTTAAGCCAGCCTCTTTGGCTACGGATTTTATTAATCCTCGGTATAGTAATATCGATTAGTTGTAAAGTTGATAACGATAACTAATCGATTTGAATTTTACAACCCAACTTAGTCAATCGTTTATTGCGGTTTGCAAAATTTTGTAATTTTTCAGTTAAAAAAAAAAAAAAGAAATCGATTATGATTAGTGATTTCCGATTTCTAATTTTTTTATGTGTATTTTTTTAGACTTTGAACTTTACATATAAAAAATGTAGTAGACTCTGATTTAATAACATTAGTAAACTTTACGTATAAAAAATGTAGTAGACTCTAATTTAATAACATTAATATATTTATCGAACTTTATAGTTTTATTTTTAAAATGCCTTCTGCTTTAGTAATTTTATTATTTTTGAAATAGATATAATTTTATTATCATCTATTTCAAATAATATATAATTAACATCTTTATTAGATTTACGTTGATATATAAATATATTTTTGCAAATACAAAATCTGTACATTTAGTATTTTGTAAAGAATTAGATTTAATATTACTAGATTTAGATATACATATTCTTGCAATAATAGAAGTTGTATTCTTCTTGTTTTTTTTAACCTTATAAAACTGCTGTATTTTTTGAATTTGTATATTTTTATATATTTGTTTTTACTCTTATAAGCTATTTAATATTATCAAACAAAGAATCAATTTGGAATACTTCTAATTTTATAAATTATTATTATTGTATTTTTTTAAAAAGAATGCTTTTAAACATCTTTGGCCTAGTAGTCAATTAAAATGCAAATGTATCACGTGACACACGTTTGTGTAAATACTTGTTACACAAAGTGCAATTCTTTCAGATCAGTTCAGTAAAGCAAAACAACAAAAATACAATCTTAGTTTATTTTAGCACATTTGTACTAAAGTATATAGTTAAAATTATTAATAAAGATATAAGCAAGATTTTATCTTAATATCAAAAAAAAGCAAAAATCAAGAAAAATAAAAAATAAAATTGTAAAAAACAAAAATAGTTGTTTAAACTTATGTTTGTTTTTTTTTATCTTTAGCAATCTTGCTGATTACTTTTATTAAGATTTTTGTATATATATTTATACAAAGTTGGTTTAAATTTTGGTTCAAATTCCTTGGTTACTTTTAAAAGTACCCAAAAGCAGTCTATTATACTGATCAAAAATTAATTTCTAGTTAGAAAGTTATATCAAGCTAGTCATTAAAATTATAAAAAAATAGTTTTATTTTTTTCTCAATAAAACTAAACTGAATCTAATTATGATTTTTAAATTCTTTTTTTATTATTATTTTAGCATTAGATTAGTGGGTTTTTTAGGTACATGGTTGTGTATTTGTTTGATAACACTATTCTTTCTTGTTTTTTTTCCAAGTTTTTAACATATTCTTGATTACTTATATAACTTATATATAATATATAAAAACTTACATGAATGGTGTATTTTTATATATACTACATGCTTGGTGTACTTTTTTGATATCTATTTCGATAGCTATTTAGCTTCCTATTACTAAGAAGTACACCCCTCTAAGGGTGTATGACACAGTTGTGGAGTGAAGCAGAGCATAGTTATCATATTTGATTTCTATTTAGTTTTTTGTACTAAAAGAGCATAGCGATTCTGAATATGAAGCATAGTGTAGCATTAGTTATCTATTTAATTCACAATTAGTTTCTTAATACTAAGAAGTATACATCTTAGGTGTGAGCGATACAGTTGCGGAGTGAAGCAGAGCATAGTAATCTTTTATTTAAACAAATGATCTGGTATATTAATAAAAAACACAGAAAAAACATATTACTATGGCTAAGATACTTAAATGTTCAGATTGTGATCGAATAATAAAAACTGATAAAACTCGAGATCTTAATAAACACATGAATTTAAATGAAAACCTTCGTAAAGGACAATGCCAACCAGCTTTGCTTATAATGAAAAATGTAGGAAACATTACTTTAGAGCAAAATACACCTCAAACTGAAAACATTACTTCAGAGCAAAATCTGCTAGCAACTCCTAAAGGTGATTTCATATCGTTCGATGAAAACCTACCAACATTTCAGCCAAGAAAGGCAAGTGCGCCAGCAGTCAACCTCTAGATAAGAGAATCAGAAATGAGTCAAAGACTCGAAGCTCAACATCCTCGATATTTTGCATCATCTAGTTCAAAGCAAAATAGCATGAGTTACCAAAATAAAACTATCTTAATTCATAAAAATATAGCAAATGGATTTGAGTTTTATAATAAGAAAAGAAAATAGTATGGAGTTAAAGAAGATTTTTGTGCATTATATAACAAATATCATTTTATTAAAGCAAATAATGAAGAAACAATTATGGAAGCATACAAAAGAATTAATAATAAGTCTGAAGCTATTGCTAAAAAAACTAATAATAGAATTGATATATGTAAATCTGAAAATTATACATTAACAACTATAAAATTTTTTAAAAAAACTACTTTAGCACCCCAAAAAAATAAAAAAATAAATGAACAAGAAAGTGCATGAATAGATTTAGCAACAACTGGTACTCTAATATTTGCAGAAAGATATGAAGAAGAAGCTAATCAATATGATATAAATTCAATGTATATATTTGAAATAATAAAAAAAGATGCATCATGACCAATTGCACCAAATAAGTTTCATACTATAAACTCATCTTTTACAGAAAAATGGAGTAAATTTCTATATGAAATTTATAAAGCAACAATAGAAGGAAATTCTCCAAAGAAAAGCCTTCAATGTATGAGATATTTATATTATAATTCACATGGAATTTACACATATTATGATTTAGAATGTGTGTGAAAAAATGGATTGAAAGTAACATTAATGAATATATCACCAAATGTGCTTATTTATGAAAGAAATGTACATATAACAGGAAAAGACATGTTTGGTGAATGAGATAATATATTATACAAAATTAAAAAAGAAGGTAGAATAGAAGAAAAAGTTAGTAAAACATTATTAGTTTCATTATGAGGTGCATTATATAAGCAATAAAATAGACAAAATTATGGTTTACATTCACGAATAAAACCATTCTTATTAGCATCTGCACGAAAAAGAATATCAGAAATTGTGAAGCCACTAGAAGATCAAGTAAAACATATATATACAGATGGCTTTATTATAGCTGAAAAAGTAGAACTTAAAATGGGAATAGAAATGGGTGAGCTAAAATTTGAGAAAAATGGAGTTTGTGTAGTAAAAATTGTATATCAATTACATGGAAACCATCATATCTAGAAATTCCAAATTTGATTATTTTCAAAGAAAATAAGCTTTGTTTTACAAATAGTTTACCAGATTTTAAGAAAATACAACAAGATAAAAAGCAGAATACAATATTAAATACAGAGTATTCTGCTTTACAGATAGCAAAAAGGAAACTATCAAAAAAGTCTGATATAAATCTTCTAAATGAAATTATAATAGAAATATTTTAACATTTACGAACACAAAATAAAAGATTATGTGGTAATAATAAATTATTGTTTCTAGTTTTATATGTTAATAAACAATGGAATGAATGTGCAACATATTTAATATGAAGAAGGATTAAATTATATAGATATAATATTAGAAATTTTGTCGAAATAATAAAAAAGAAACCATTACCAAATGCGATAAAATATATAAAACAGATAGAATTCAAAAGAATAGATAATTATTTTAATATGAATAAATTTCTATTAGAAAATATTGCAAGTATATGCCAATATATAATAACTATATCATTTAAGAATTGTGGTTGGAGATTTCTTAACATAGTTCACTAAAGATAACATTGGATACGTGCAAAAATCTAAACCATATATTTATCTATGGAAGTAATCGAATAGTGCCAAAAATTATCTTAAGTATACCAGAAAAATGTACAAGTATAAAAACTATAAAAATACAAAATTGTGAATGAATAACAGATAAAATAATAAATCAATTATTGAGCAAATATCCAAAAATTAAAATTAATAAAATAGAAGTTGATTCATGAAATGAGGATGATATTGCATCTTAAATTATAAAAAATATATTTGATGAAGACTAGTTTATGGTAATAGATAAGTAAGTTAAAAAACTCATTAGAAGATAACTGCTTTTTTCTCACATGTTCGAAAATAATCTAGCTTTGAGTAATGAAATTATGAGAAGGTGTGATAATAAAACTTGTATTGAATAAATTTATATTATATAAAACAAAATATAGAGTAAGTATAAACCAAGTATAACAGACAATAGTTCAAGTTTAATAAATAAGCAGGACTCAGAGTTAACAATGCAAGATATTACATAGAAAATGATTGAATCAGCACAAATCAAAATAATAAAAGAGGCCTTTTGTTTTTGATATAGAAAAGATAGTAAGCTTGTTAATGAATATGCTGAATATGTAAAAAATTTGCGTAATGCTGACAATCAAGATGAGTATATAAAATATACAGCAATAATGCTTTTCCTAAATGATGAAGCATATAATAGAAAAATGTTAAGATATAGAAAATGGTATCAAGGTAAAAAGAAACTACTTACTAGTATAAAAGATTTATATAATCTTTATTATGAGCTATTCAAAAAGGATCAGTCTATGACTAAAACAGAAATTAAGGAAGCTGTTAAGAATGTACTTATAGATGAGTAAATTATTATTTGAGCACCCATGTGGGAGGAAGTTTAACTTTCTTAACTAATTGTAATTGCTCACAAATAAATTTTTTTTCTGGCCCATCTTCTAATTTATATATAACTGATTGACCTTTACGAATTAAAGTACTTTCAATCTGATAAACCTGAGGAGACTAATTTTTATCTGTAATCCGTCTTATAGGTGGACCATATTCTAACTCATCAGGTTTAAGTAATATCGAACAAAATCTTTATATGACAAACATGGTTCATCAAATCTAACAGGTCTTCTATGTTTTACTGCTAGCTCTGCAAATATTTTTTCACCTTTTAATGCTCTTTTTACAGCTTCATTAGAAGTCATATGTATTAATCGAGTAACAGTATTATTAAAAGTATTATCATTTATACGAAGGCCTTTAACCCAAGCTCTACATCTTTCAGTTAATAGTAAACAAAAATCAATAGCATCTTGTCTATAAAAAGCATGTTTTTCAAATTCTTGATCATGTTTAGCAATAGCAACACCTTTCTTAGTTACAACATACTGAATTTTTACACCACAGCTAAGTAATAAATCTTTGCACTCACCTAAATATTCAGTGCCTTTGTCTATAATCAAAACTGTAGGCCAGGTAAGCAGGCAATTTGGATCATCATAAATTTTCTTAAACATTTTAGCTAATGATGCCAATGACTTATTAGTTAAAACATAACTTTTATGAAATCTAGTTGCTATATCTTTTATTACTCCTCTGTGTTTGTAAATTCTATTGCCAATTTTATCATAGGGCATGAAGATAGTATCTGATTGATGTACTTCATTTAAATTTTGTATTTCATTAAAAGAAGAATATTGAATAAATTTAGAGTGAGGCTTATGAATCTGGAAAACTGCCTGTTTGTTTAACCAATCTTTTATCACTGCTAACGAAAACTTATGTCTAACCCTTCTACATGCATTATGCATTTTTTCAGCAGTCCAATAGTAACCTTCAGGCTTATAATATAGATTTTGCAATATGATCTCTCTATTCAAATTATGGGCCCTTTGTGGGTCAATATAAATTACAGGTTTCTTTATTCCTTTGTTTTATTATAGTAATAAAAAACAATGAATGAGTTACAACAAACCAACCAAGAACTCTATGAGATGGTATCGCAATTAGCTGAATCAAATAGGAATTTTGAACAATGTCTATATATCTAAGAAAGAGTTATTGATATATGAGAAGAAAGGATATGATATCTTGAAAAAGAGTTAAATAATGATATTGAACTATCTGCACAAGACAAAAAAGAATTATTAGAAGAAATCTCAAAACTAAAAAGAATCGTTCATCAGCTTGAAGAAGAAAATAAAAAAAAAAACAAGGAAATCTCCAATAAGGATAAGTTAAGATCAGAATTTGATAAATGTGAAACAAAATTAAAAACCAGAATACGAGAAATATCAAAATCAGCTGAAAATACATCTAAAGCACAAGATTATACAACCAGATTAGTAGATGAAAATGAACGCCTTAAACGAGAAATAAATACAATAAGAGTTAATCAAATAAATAGAATTAATAAAATAAATCAGCAAAAAAATTATATTACAGACCTGCTTTGTCAAAATTTTGCATTAGCATTATTAAGATATCGAGATAGATTAGAACTTAGAAATACACAAGAGGCTTTACAAAATGCACAGACATGGAATTTTGATGAAAATGAATATGATTCTGATGAAAATTCTCTAGACTTGTATAATTTTGATAATATAGGTACAATAGCTGAATTGGCCGATGCTATAGACCAATTCTTAGATAATACAACAATATGTAGAACCATTTTAACAAATTAAATTAAAAGATCAACAAGAGCAATTCAATGTAAATATACTAACCTGCAACAAGATCTGGTAAACGAATGATAGAATCGTGATATATACAGGCAGAAGCGAGACCAGGCATTGCTTAAACTTCATCAGTTACAGACTAATGCTCAGAATCAAGTAAACAGAATGATAAATAATATAACAATAAAGCAAACTTGTATGGGTGCATTGCTATGTGAAAATTTTGCTTTCTAGTTATTGTATTAGTGAAATGCCTATTACCTACAATGATGCAGAGCCGATAAAGCTTTGCTAGAATATAATCAAGATAGATTATATGAATGATATAAGAAGTGGAAAAATAAGACTCATGCAGAGTGCCAAAATATTTTAATTTTAAATCAACAAATTTTTGTGCTACAGAATAATCTACCTAATATACAATGAATAGGAATGGCAGGAATACCACAACTATTTTTTGACTGGGATAAAGATATATCAAATTTCTTTGCAAAACTTAGATTATACTTGCAAAACCAAGGAGTAAATCCAGCAGATAATGCAGAAGGTTCACCAATAGGAAGAGAAGTAGCTATAGGATATTTAAGAGGATGTATGAAAGGAAGAGCTTTAGAATGGTTTGATGAAGAGATTATTACAAAACAGAATTGGAAATTAGCAAACTTACTTGATAATACAGGCAGGCTAACTTAGTAGCTATAAACAGAAGAACAGCAGTTCAAATAAGAAATCAAGCATTGAATAAGGCACTTGGCCAACCTGGTAATACAATAGTCAAATTAAGAGCTGTAGAGGATCCTTGAGATGAAGATTGGCACATAGCAGGTGGTTGTCCTACTAACATTGCTGTTAATGCACCAAATGCTAATAATAGTACTACAGTAGTTGTAGCTGGCATTCGTTTTGGTCAAGCTATATAGTGGCTAAAAACATATTTTCCTACAGTAGAAGAGGAGCTTTAGGATTTGCAATATAAAACAATTAGAAAAGAAAATATGACTATAGATGAATTTTATAGAAAATTGTTACAAATAGGTAGACGAGCTAACTATAGGCCTAAAGAATTACATAATAAGTTCTTGGATGCCTTTCCTATTCCATGGCTTGAAAAAGCTAAGGATATCAGTGAATATTTGCTATTAGATGAATTAGCTAAAAAGCTTTATGAGATAGAGTTACAACAAATTGCTAGACATAAAAGAGATAGAATACCTGATCTGCTAGTATCTCAATGAGCATCTCGAGAAATATATAAATCCTTACCTGTTTCAGCTCCTCAACAGCAAGGAATTTCTTTAAAAGATATGCAAAAAGCAATCCAAAATGCACTAGCATAGCAAAAAAACTGAATACTAATCTTTATTAGAAAAACAAAAAACTGATTTTTAATTACAAATAGCTAAGCAAACACAAGTACCTGCATCTTAAACTATTGAACTAGTTAGACAGCCAAGAGGTCCACCACCTTCATTACAAACAGAAGAAGGTATGGAAAATTTTCGCTTATCACAATACTTAAATAATTTAGATATATTTAGTAAAGAAGATTTCGACAGAAATTATCCTATAAAGCTTTTTTAAAAACCTCATCAGGAATGATTATATTCATCAAATCAAAATGTTAGAATGGATAAAATAGAATCAAAAGTAGATAAAATTAGTCAAATGACATCTCAATTCAGAAAGATGATGCTTGATAACAAAAAACCCATAGCTAAATCAAATTCAACATATCGATACTTTCCTTCTCTAATACCTTTCTAATCCCAATATGCATCTCCTAATTTAGATGATAATGAGAATGAAGAAGGTGGATATAATAATAAAGAGAATAAATGGCATGCTCCATCTCAGTCAGAAAAAAAAAACAGGTATTGGTAAATGAAAAAATGCTTCCAGAACTTAGTTAGCCTAAAATGTATAATGAACTATTACCAAAGCTTTCACCAGCAATGTGTAAAATATGTCAGTCTCATATAGTCCAAGAAAAAGAATCAAAATCAGATAAATGGTTTTTATTATTGCAATACTTGCATTGTAATATAAATGATCTATTAATTACTAATTTCTTTTTAGATAGTATGAGTGAATTTGGAGGAGTAAATGATGCAACAATGAACATCCTAGGGTGAAAAGCTAATAAGCCTTCTGACTTTGCTATAAAGAGTAATTCCAAACATATATTTGAATCATTAGAATGATATACAGATGTGCCAATTAATATGGATTCGAAAAGTTCAAGATATTCTTGATCTAAATAAAAATCAATTTCGAATAAAGTTACATAGGAAGACTTACACTATCCCAACTTTTAGCAAGGCTACAGAGGTTAATGAACTAGAGCAACAAGTTTCAGATATGTATGATAGTGAGAATTTAAAAAAAAATATAACTTACTTGAAAAACGACTTATAAAAACTGAAGAATGGCTTGATATGGCTCTAAATGCAAATAGAGTTCTTGCAGAATGATGCTCTCAGCTTACTGAAACAAAGATGGGCATATAGAAGCTAATCTTTCAGTATTTTTCATTAATTTTTCAAGATCTGCTTTTCTTTTAGATGTATCGAACAAAGTTTGTACACATTGTGGTTCTTTGAACCTATCTATAGAAAAGGTATTTTTTTCTATTGCAGAGCTATCACTCTTCGAGCCTACTATATATGAATCAGATAAAACTTTCTTTTTTTGACTAATTTTTTTTGTCGATGTTTCCTTAGCTAGAATCTTCTTAGTTTGAGACTTATTTAACATAAAACCTTCATTTGAATCAGGTAGTAATAAGAAATTATTTTAATTATTAAGACCTTGTTGGAAATGTTTATTATGTTTCTATATCTCATATACACGGTAGGCACCAATATGAAATTTTTCAGCCATTTTTTTTGATGCATTTGGAATTTTTCCTCTTGAATCTCTAATCTCCTTAATATCAGACTCTGATAATTGGGTCGCATTAGATTGATAAAAAGTTTGATAAAGATGATTGACTATTTTTAAGTTGAAATATATTATAGAAAAAAAAGTATCAATATTTTTCAAAACATATTGATGTTACTATAATGTCAATATATATCGATAAGTATTGTTTCTTTTTTAGTAAGCATCTAAGATATATCAATAAATATTGTTTCTTTTTAGTAGGCATTAATATGTATTGTTTCCTTTTGGTAAGTATTGAAATATATTAATAAATTTCATATATAAAAGTACTAATATCTATCAATTTTCTTGTATAAGTATTGATTTTTTAACAATTTATATTTATATTTACTTAGCTAAAGTATGTCTTGAATTTATACTTTATCAAATATAGGTGAATATCGAAAACTCGAGAGTATACCATCTAATCGATATCTATCTAGCCGAACAGAACTTGAAAACTAGCTTGTTTGTGCAAATCAAGATCAAGAAATTGCTATAGAGTGTGGCAATCGACTTCTAATAAATGCTCTGTTTTGGATAAAGACAATAAGTATATACAATGTGATCTAAAACAATTTAATAAAGATAAAGAGAAACTCTCCAAGCACACTTTCCAGCTTATAGATGAGATTAAATAATTGTGCTCAGAGTTAGATAATCTAACATCCCAGATTACTCGCAAAGATATTTCTTTTAAAGAATCTAAGATTAAGATAAAAGATCTCCTGTCTAAGATAAAAATATTGGAAACGAAACTATCTTCAACTCAAAATAAATCAAAGGAAATTACAGCACTTTGGTCTATGAAAAAAAATACTAGAAAGTAAGTTAGAATCAGCTCAAAAGAATGCATTCTTAACTCAGAAAGAGATAGTAAAAAAAGGATCTGAGATCATATTTCTCAAGTCTGAATTAATCAATATAAAGAATGAACTAATGAATACAAAGAATAAATTAGCTTTAAAAATTAATGAAATTGAGTGTTTAGGTGCTTTACGTTTTGCTTTACAGAAAACAAAGAATATATTAGATTCTGTAATTAGAGGAGGTACAGAAAAAAATACGCAGAGTGAGGAACAAAGTTTTATATCGAATTCTGGAGACACATCGGAGGAATCAGAGATTCGAGACTATGCCTCATCTAAAAGTCTTGCAAAATATTTTAAAAGTAAAAATGAGCTAGTAATAAAAGAAAATGATACATTACCAATTATCACAAATAAGCAGAATCCAGAGTCATTGATCCAAGATATTACAATAGAAGGGGCAGTATGCACTGACGAGGCTTTAGCTAATGATAAGTATCAAATTCCTCCTATTATTAAAATTGTCATTATTACAATAATAGTGATATTAATTATTTGGTATATATACAGTAATATTTTTTATCAAACCCTGCCTTCTTGTTCTTTAAACTCGAAGCCAAATTATACTCATTATATGACTGCCTCTGGTAATTTGTTTTCTAAAATATATAAACCAACTATGAATGAACAAAGTGAAATGAATTATTGAGGAAAAGAAATTTTTTATCTAGTTTATAGAAATTATAGATATAGATTCTCAGGAAGCAGTGCTTCGAGTTTCCAACTCATCTGATATACAAAAAATTAAAAGAAAGAACTATTACAGAACAAGCCTGAAGGGCAAACCAAGAATTATGGCTCATCAAGCTTATTTTCAAAGAAAATAAGTTTTACTCTACCACCTATGAAACTTTATCTTATAGATATAGATGAAGCTAATAAACATGAATTAATTCGAAATATTGGACATCTAGCAATATTATGGCCCTTCAGTAAGGTAGTTAGTAGTAAGAGTGGTACAGATAAAACTAATATACTTGGAAATATTTTTGTTGTTAATAAAGGTGAATGTATATATAAAAAGAAAAAGAGTAGATCCTGCTATATACAATGTGATGATTTGATAGTTTGTGGATATCACCCAAATGAACCTAAATGGGCATTTGTTAGATATATATATGAAGTAATTGCAAGTGATTCAAGAGTATCATATTATGAAAATATTAGATTTAAATATATCTTACCTGAAAAAATTCTTAGTATAATATCTTTCTTCCCCAAAAGAAGTACTGTTATTATCTTTGAAAATTTATGTATTGCCTCTAAGTCTATACAAAATCGAATTATCCTATTTTTTACATATAGATGTCATCGTAATATAAGTCCAATATATGTAATGCAAAAATATCATTATGTCCTAATAATTATTTGTGAAAATATCACACATTTAGTGATATTTAACTCAGGTAGCTTATATGAAGATATTTTAAAAATTATTAAATGTTATACTAATGATGTAAAAAGTGTATCGATGGTTATTAATAGCTATCTTCACAAGGATGAGTTTATTGTATTCGACCTTAATAAGGCAGAAGATGATCCACTTGCAATTCGGCTAAGGTTTGATACTCTACTAGATTTGCAAAAAGAGATAGAGTTACGGCAAAAGCATAAGATAAAAAATATATTACTTGCTGAACCTACTTCATAGATTTTTATTTCACATTGGTATTTTCTATTCCAGAAATTTCATAATATATTTCTCAATTGTGATCTCAAGAATAGCATTATTGCAAAGCAATAAGGCTTTGCCTCTAGGAAAATAGTAGACAACTACCTATCTATATCTTCAAGAGTATTAATAAAACTAGCACAGTCAAAAAATATTATATAAATAGTATAGGTATTTTGTACCTGCAAGGAATTAATAAATCGAATAAATACTATGCTTCTATCTCTAAAAGTCACTTTTGAAATCTAATCCGCAATTGACTTTTTTTATATTCTATCCAATTATCCTAAATATAATATTCTTTATATTGTCTATTAATAATAGAACTGCACATTATAGGATTGTTTTTATATAATTCAATCCATTCAGTACACCACTGATTAAATTGTTCTCGAGTTTGAGAATTTTTCACTTCATGTCTTGTTAAACCTAAAAATTTCATATCATCCAGAGTATTATTATTTGCTAAGCTGTTTCAAGCAAGTTGTGCATTCGATGGTACTCTTTCTTGGAATCATCTCCAAACATTTTGAATAATTCTTGCTGAACCATCTCTAGTTTTTGGTTTATTACAATCATGATCCCAATATTCTTGCATCAGGTCTTTAGGTTCAAGAATTTCTACATATCTACCTTTTAAGAAATGATGCTTCTTCTTCGGCTTTACATCGACATTAACACAAATTACTTTTCAACACCTAAAGCAAATTGCAGTTTTATTCTTGAATAGTTTTGGGTGATAGTAATTAAAATTTTTTAACTTACCTCCAGGATAAGAAGCAAATAAGCAGGATCAGTGATATACACTAAATTTTTGTTAGAGTAACAAATCTTGAAGATCAATTCTAACTCACACTACCTATTGAATAAGATTTTCATCCTGTCTTATGATAGACAAGTTGTCATATAATCTTTCAGTTACATAAAGTTATTCAAATTGTTCACCACTATAATCACAATAATTTAAGACATATGATTGCATATACCTCATATCATACCCAGGACGGTTGTTAAAAGATTTAGGTAGTATTCTATCTTTTTTGTCGATAATAATAGAAATACTAAGACCTGACATATTTGGGATTATTTGACAATAATTTTTTTAACGATTATATGGTTTATAGACCTATTAGATTTTATCAACTTAATATTTCCTTAATTTTGGATTCAATTTTTGCAAGAGGTATTGTAATAAATGAATATCGATTAGATATATAAAGTCAAAGGCCCTATTATTTAAAGTTAGACGAAATTTTTTGCATGACTATCCTAGAAAGAAGTATAATAAATAAAAAGTGAGATGAATACATTCAAACTATTTCTCATCTCATAGTTCAGTGAACTAAACCATGGGAAGCCTGCATGATCTTCCTCTTCTTACTATGCAAACAATAATAATTTGATGATCACACCCTCTAAAATTGGGTTTTTATAAGTATAGAAAAAAAAAAAATATATATGACATGCTTTCAAAAGAGGAAGTACATAGATCCTCCTAAACCATTTAATGCAAGTCCCTGCACCATATTATTTCATTAAAACATTAATACACATAGTCAGAGGCCCTATCGCTTCAGTAGTAGAAACAAAATTTTTTGTTTGACTGAAAAAGACTATATTATTAGAAGACAGCTAGATTGCATATTTTTTGCGAAACAAATGAACTACCATCACCAAAGCACTGAGCCATCTGCTCTGTTAAAGCAAGAAGATTGTGTGCATGTTCGATCACACAACTTGCTAAAGCAAATTCATGTCAAGTAGCTATAGAAGTCGTCTTATCAACACAAAAACAATCTAACAAAAAAAAAAAAGATGCAAATAAGAGTAATAAAATTTACAGCTAAAAATTATGAAGAAAAGGATTTATATAAGTAGGAAACTATGCTCCATGCATGTAATAATTAATCTCATATATAGTTCGTTATATTTGGTTTTGGGCTGTGTATCATCTTTGAGTGGTGGGTTTACCTGACAATAAGCTATAAATATTCATATATCCTAGTAAATAAATTCTTTTATTAGACGATTCGGTCATGTGGTGAATAAAACATTAGGTGGATGTTCAGTCAACATGTGATCTGTATAAAAATATCATATTTGTCAACACATACAAATTCAGAATAATATTCAAGAAATAGGTGACTTCAAGACATACCAATACCTATAAACAAATATGTGTGTTATTTTAACACAACCATGCATGATAATTTAATTTTTATGCACTGGAAAAAAATAAGTACTACAGGACCACTTTTTATTTTGGTCTAAGCTGAGGCTAAAATAGTGATTACAGGTTTATATCATGGATGGTAAATTATTTACTATCACTATATAGCATTGGGACAATTTTGTGAATGCCATTACAAGTCATATAAAATTAGGTTATGGCTTGTGTCACTTGTAGAATTAATTCTCATGGTTGATTTATTAAGTTAATAAGTAGCGCTAATAATGAATAGTGACTAGAATCTTTCTTACCTTATATGTGATCTCACGATAAGAATAAGACTTAAAAAGGCTATAAGGGCAATGAGTATAACATTCTTAATCAGTAGTTTTATCAAAATTCATATGTTACAGGGACTTCGAATCTCCATCATCTCCAAGATCGTCAGATCTAAATCTACCTTAAGTAATCATTAAATCTAAGAAGGGTTAATTTTATCAGAAAAATAACAAAATAGCTTCAGTATATGGAACTTATAGTCGAATGAACTTGCTTTACATGGTAAGATCTAGATTGCATTACTCTATCACAATTACTAATCATGTAACTTTTTTTTCTGCCAGGTTTTTTAGATCTAGCAAATGGATGGTATAAATAAGCAAGTTCCTATTCATAAGATAAGTCAACAATAACATTATTTTTTGCTCATATATATTTTTACTTGATTTACCTGCCCATAATTTATTTTTAAAGTAATTTTGTTATTTCATTTAATGGAATCTATGAAAACGAATTTTTACTTACTATGATTTTTTTCGTATTTAGGTACAAAAAATGAGCGCTAATGATAGTACTACCTCCAAGACCAACAATACCACCACCCCCAAGACTAATAATAGAACCACTTCCAAGACCAACAATACCACCACTCCCAAGACTAATGATAGCACTACCATTAGAGTAATAACACTACCACCTTCATGACTAACAATCCTAATACTCCCCAGACTAACAATTATAACATCCCTAGAACTAACCAAAGAACACATAGTTCCAATCAACAACGTAATAATAAGAGAAACAAACATAGTAAGTAAAGGCATAGGCTTATTGCTTTTGCAATAAAATTCTGCTAAAGCTAAAAAGCTAAGACAATAAGCTAAAGAATCTCAATTTATTAATTTAGATGATCCATACTATGATCCTGAAGATGACAATTTTCTTGAAAGTGATTCTTTTTATTATGTTTTAAAAGAATACACACAATATTGTATAGATAATGATGACCATAGTCATCTAAGTCGTAGGGACGCATTAAATATTCTAGATCAAAGTTAATATATATTTTTTTATTTGTATGCCATTTCAGCAAAAAAAAATTTATTAAATAAAGAAGGGGGGTCCTGTGGCCTTTCCATGTTTTATTTTTACATGATTGTAAATTGGCAAAAATATTGATCATATGTGAGTTAATAGACATTGATATCAATTTAATATATGGCGCAGTAATCATGTGAACATAACCTTCGAGGTCACAGGTATATGACTTATGCCAATAATTCAAAGTAAATCTTTATTATATCTTTGTAAAGCAATATGTAAGAAAGAAATAAGTAAAAATGGAAGTAAAAAAATGATAGAGTAGCAGGATGTTTTAAGGAAGGAAAGGCATGAAAGAACACACCTGCTTGTTAAGCCTGCCAAGCCCTAACTCATATTTACAGTTCCTTCCCTGTTACTCAATAGTAGTTTATCCAAGCACCTATCTTTTCTAAGTTTTCACTTTTTATATTATCCCTATGGTAAAAACCCTTTATTGTATCTTTTCTAATTGCTCTCATCCCAAGATTAAGAATATCAACTGATATAACAGCGCACATCTGATCTAAAGAATAATCATTTGCACTCTTAATTCTATCAAATCTATCTGAAAATTGTTTCCAGATTACCCAGAAATGATATTTGTGAATCTTTGGCTTGAGCCTACAATCAAAAAAAGTTAGTCAAACCTCTCAATACATTAACAAAGAATTATCTTACTAGAAGAACTGGAAAAGAGAGCTTAAAGACGAATTAGTTGAAGAGCCTCGTGGATTAGTTTCAGATTCATTGGTCGAATTAGCTTTAGATTCATTGGATGTAATAGATCTAATCCTGCCAACATCATTTTGACAGACTTCTTCGATATCAGATATTTTTAAGTCTAGAAAATATTTTCTGTCATTCTGTGCTTCTTTGGCATAGCCAGTATTACGTGCTTTAAAATATTCAATCTCTGCGGTGAGTTATTAAGCTCAGTATTAATTTCATTCTTAATTATGTAATTTTGGTGATCTCTGTACAAATAAAAATTATATGACTGAATTCACATCACTTTTGTTTTTTACAAGTGGTGTAATGTGCATCAAGTAAAAATGTTTATATGCCGGTTTCGTATATATTATAGCATTTACTTTATTATATATATTATACAGACTCCATACAAAAAACTTTTAGAAAAAAAAATTGACAGATATACTAATACACTTAATTATGAACTGTTAATAGAACCTGAACTAACCCTCCCTCTTCCTCGACCTCTTCCCCTTAATCTTATTGTATTCTCTTATCTATTTGTCTCCTCTTTCGATGTATTAGGTAAAAACTTGGCAAATGTCACAACTCTAGATCAGTTTGGTGTGAGCCCAGTTACGTACTTAGTTGTGGGCTTAATTATATGTTATTGTCCCTCTCTCTCAAATTTTTTGAACATTTCAATCTTCTTAACAACATTATATCTCAAGCATAAAAGTGTCTAGATCAATCTAGGTGTATGTTTTAAGTTTCAAGTGAAGTTGGAATTAGGAGGTTCAGAACCATGAACAGAGAATATAAATATAGACCAGGACCGATGTAGACCATTTGGCCAATTTTGAGTTTGTCACCTGTAATAATAATATACTAAAGGTTAAAAATAAACACTTCACATTCAGCTTAGAAATATCCTAAAAATAGCTTACTAAATTCTTGTACTAGAAAGATTCCCAAATTTTGACATACTTCCCAAGTTGGCAGGTTAGTTCTCATTATGAACTTATTTAAAGCGAAAACACCTTCCTTCATTAATTTTTGTCTACCATTGCTGAATTTATTAAGGTCCGGTTTAGAAGGGTCTCCCGAAACTTCAAGTAAAAATACTGGGATCTGATTGGGCTGTTTTAGAAATTCCACAACTCCATCTGCCTTATAATCAACTGCTTGCAAATCTAACTTTGTTGAAATAGTTCTTTCACATGAAAAGTATTGTATAAAATCCAAAAAACTAAAGGTAATAAAAAAAAAGTATGCTAGAATATGTGCTGTCCAAGATCATTCTGTAGTGTTTTTTAAAATTCCTTCTAGCTTTGTGAAGTTATCTATATGGCTTGAAATACTCTTGATAATGTGTATATCAGGGTATTGAGATTGATTGTAGTGTAGTACTGGAAGGGGAAGGGAATTTGATAGGTATCGAAATTTTGTTGTTATTTCATTCAGACTATATAGTGTTTTTTTCATTTCAGAAATGACACTGCTCTTAGCATCGTTATCATCCTTTAAATCGATCAAATTATTTACTTCAGTGGTTTTTTCCTTCGAAGGATATTCTATAATTTGATCAAATAATGCTAAATATTTATGTGCCTTTGTACTTATATAATTGTTCTTGTCATCTAAAGTCAGTCTTTTGGATAATATTTTTAATTCATCTTTGCACAAAAGTTTATGAGTTTGCTTTATAATTTTATTATCTCCCAAGTCAATTATGTAATAATCTGCTTCAGAATTACAGGCATGCTATATGGTTTTGAGCTTATCATAATAAGATGGAACTTTTTCAAAGATATTGGAAGCTTCGATTATTGAATTCAGCAAATCTTCTTGAGTAGTGCATTCTTTAGCAGAGTCTTCCTTCTGAATTATACATGGACATTTTTTTGGTAGTGAATGATCACCTCCTACATCTGCTAACTGTCTTGTAACATTCTCTCGTACAAGATTTTCTTGATTATCTCATTGAAGAGTAGAACATACAGTTGTAGTAGTAAGCTCCTCCTTTAAAAAAAAAGAGCAGAAAATATAGGCAGTGAGTATTTCAATTATATCATATATATACCTTGTTATATTGAAAGCCAAATACATACCACTAAAGCTGAGCGTTCAGTCAAAGCCTCGATTTTTCGCTTTTGTGCTAAAATGGCATTTGTTCAGAAATCAACAATTAATTCTGATGTCTTTTCTTGCTATTAATGATAAAATGAATCAATGATTAGTATTATTCTTTTGATTATTTATTATTTGATGTATTCTGATTCTTTGATATTTTTATTTAATTGCTAATTATATTAAAACTTTTATTTGTTTCAATTCTATTTTTAATATATTCTAGTTGCAAGAACGGAACCACCCGAGACAAGACTCATGCAATTCTGAGTGAGATCAAGAATGTTGGATGATTGAATGCAGGATGTGCCCCCATTCAAAGAACTATTCTCTTCAGACCCATTCACTTTCAACTAAAAAAAAGCACTTTTAGGTAAAATAGAACCACCCGAGGCGAGACTCATACGCTCCCGAATAAAATCAAGGGTGTTGGGCAGAATCAAACTAACCATACATGCACTTTGGTGGGACAGAACCACTCGAGACGAGACTCATGCACTCCTGAGCGAGATAAGGAGTGTTGGTGATTGAATGCAGAACGTGATCCTATCCAAAAAAGTTATTATTTTTTGGACCTGTCCATTACCATTATTTTCGAATATACTGTATTTGTCTATTATTAAAACAACAAGAAAGAAAAATATTTAACTTGTACTGCATTAAGTGCCACGCAAGCTAGATCATATGTAGTCTCAGATAGATCTTCACTTTCAATGATGGCTAAGAGGTTGTGAATATATCGTTTGTGTTCACCACATTTATTAGCTGTAAAATTATCACATTGTTGTTGGTATAATAAGAAACTTAATAATGACCAGTCGCAGTCAAGGGTGAAGTAGGTAGGATCGTATAGTGGAATTTCTATTGAGAAAGAAAAATTCTATAAACGCTGAGGAAGGCAGAAATCCTAGAGAATATAGAGAATATAAACTTACTCTCCATTATAACAAACGTTTCTTTTGTTACAATAAATTTTTTTCAACTTCAAAACAGTGAATCTTATATCAAGTGCGTATCATGCATAGTCATTACACATAAAACAGTCAGGTATATTACCAAAATGGATATCGATTCTGGAACATTCTATGGAAAATCCTTGAGTGATGATTGGCTTATAATTACACTTTTTGGCTGAGAATTTAATGTTAATTATTCGAGAATTACATTCATATCGCTTATATATTCCATTCACTACTTTTTTGCATGTTTTGCAATACAGATGTGAATGATGATTGCATTCATCACAAACCTTACACCCATGCTTCCACCCTCTAAAGATATGCCACTTTTTGATATATGAGTATGTTATTCGGATTTTTTTTCATTGTTATACGTTAACAGAAAAAATATAACATGGCTAAAATTTTTTTATTATACAAACCTGCCCTGTCTTACATGCATAAACCTTAGATCAAGATCTGTACATGTTGATTGAATGCCTATCGCTATATTTAACAATATTGCAGTATTAGTATGTATAAACTTTATTATGAATTAAATTATATACTGTAATTATATGTATATATGATTTACTAATAAAAAAATATTTATATCACATTGGTGTCAACTTGGGGGATGCGATCTGCACTAATTAAAATGCTTTATAATATTATAAATTGTGTAGAATTGAGCTTTGAAATATAATCAGCACTATATGTTCAAATTTTCTCAATTTTTTCAATTCCTATCTCCTTAACTATTTTTTTGGTATCAGGGTCATAACTTTCTCCAAACAACTTGTAGATATTTCTAGCCTTTGCAGTTTTTTTACACAAACTATCTCTTGTAAATTCCAGAAAATTGGTTGTGACTTTGCCATATACTAACCTTCTAGCTTGTTGATCATTGTACCTACTGTTATTATTTTTTATTTCTTTAACTCTTTCTTTAAATTTTTTAGCAAACAGATACTAGCATCTTATTTCTTCTTGGTAGGCATGGGTTACATGTTTTTCTGCCCGGTTTGCATTATAGTATAACTGGAGTAAAGTTATTGGTTTTGATTTTTTGCTCTTATTTCCTCTATCGTTATCATCAATCGGCTCACTTGGAATAGATAGTTCTTTTATTAAACCTTGTACTTTATCAGGTTCCATGGATTTTGGTTCACTTCGTGAGATAGCTTTACCACCATCTACAGATAACTTACTTACTGCCCCCATTAGATTAGAGGTTTCTTCACCTTCATCTTCTATTGCCTCTGACATATCTACATCCTGAACTTTAGCTGATACCATTTCTTCATTATCTACGAAACAAATAGGACAAGTTTTTTGCTTATCTTTATTACTTTTTTTAAGACAGTCATGATGGAGTATATAACTACACACAAGCATGATAAATGCTTTGGGTGGATTTAATAAAATTTCTTTATTACATTCATGACAATTCTTTAGCTTTGATATTGTGATATTACTTGTAAGAGAGTTTGGATGACTTTTTAAGATATTTATTTCTAAGGCTTTTAATAATTCTGCTTGTTTGGAGTATTTTTTGGTAAGTTCTTCTTTGCTAAGTGGTTCATTACTCATAGTATAGGTTATGATGAGTTGGTTAATGATGAAAATTTTTCTTATCATTTCATACTTACCTGACTATATATTATTTTTTTACTACTCGGAATTATTTGATAGCTAAAAAATAAACAGATATAATATCTAAATCAATACATTTACTCGAACTTTAACCAGATAAGTCTTTAAAATTTATTATTTATTTATTCTGTTTTATAATATATTTTTGTATTGACAAACCAATTTGCAGATTTTATAAAATCTCATTTCGGATTTGGCGATCTATTTATTCACGAATTATTTAGTATGATGAGGGATTGCTCAATCTTATTTTTATTTTTGCTAATAATTGCTTAAGTAAAAAATTATATATATATTATTGTCAAAGGTGGTCACATAGTGAATAGATATATTAAAATGTTATGAAGCAAAGCTATATTTATTTTTTTGGAATTTTACAATCACTATATAAATATGTTGTTTCCATATCACGAGCTATTCACAATTTCGTATCTAATAGGTTAATGCTCCTTTTTGTTTGCTTTATTCTATACATTTGATGTCTGTAACTTCAGAGGAATTGTGCAGTTCATGGTTGATCCTCTTTTCCCTCTAAAACACAGTCTTCGAATATTTTATGAGTAAGCTCTCTCTTGATAAGTGCTTTTTTAAGACCCTTTGTTTTTATTATATTTTTTCATGAATTTTCACATATAACACTATAACATTTTGCGTGAACTTCAGCATAGCCAATAGCATGATCTCCTTCATTTTCATCCTTCCACTTACTCATAACTTTTGTATTTTTTAAAACATGTTTACCTTCATTGATTATCCACTGATCTTCTGGAAAATTTTTTACTACCCAATGATTTTCTGGAAAGTCACTAAAATCAAATAAATCACAATCATCAATTATGTCTTGATAAATATTTTTAGTTTCAATTTCTATGATTAAAGAATCTGTATCTGTATATAAAAGTCTTACTCGACCACCATACTTCTTTTTGAGATGTCCATATCAGAAGTCATACATAAAGTATTTAGAAAGATCAAAAATACATGCTCTAACATATTCTGGCTTATTTAGTTTTATATTGGTTTGTCTTCAATGTACCACTACCAAATTTGCTTTATAAAAAATTTTCCTACTAATAAATGCTAGATCTGATATTAATCTATATAACCTCTGTTCTTCACCTACTTGTCTAACTAAATCTATATTTACTCATTTTCTTACATCTTCCATAGTTTTTCCAAATACTGAATTATTCATTAATTTTCAGAAATCTTTTTCAAAGGCATTCTTTGCTTTTGCATGTCATTGAGTATTCATTGCAATGTATAGTTCCAACCATAGTGATTGTTCGAAACCTAGAATTTGATATACTTTTTCAAGAACATATCTTTCCTTTATACATTGTTGTAGATTTTTATAATGAATAACATAATAGTCCTTATCATGGAGAGTTAGTATAAGTTTTTCTGTATCTGAACATTGTTTACCTGCCCATTCTTTTTGTTTTAAACTATACCAATCATATAGTACATTCTTTTGTTCTGAACACATTAGATAGTCTTGAAATTTGGGATGTAATTCTTTTGGAATCGATAACTTAACTTTCAAACAACATTCTTGATTTGAATTTTCTTTTATTTTTAAAATTTTCTGCACTAAAGAGTGAAATGCTTCCAAAGGTTTTGTTGATAGCTATTTAAATCCTCTAGTTGGTAAATATTGAGACATTGCCCAGTCATAAAGATTATTAGCATCTAAATATAACAGCCATTTTTTTGCTTTTTTTTCATCATACCCTTCTAATCCAGAAAGATTTGTTCTAACTATACATCTTTTAGCTAAGGACATTCCTCCTCTTTTCATTGCAGTAAAGAAGTTATGCATATCTCCTTGATGCTTGTTAAATAATTCTAATTTTACCTTTGTTACCTTCATACATGCATCCCATGCAAGACCTGGTGTGGTTAAATAATTTGCTGGATCTAATTTGAATACTGAATAAGATGCTTTTCGAAATGCCTCGAATGTATCTGCTAATATAAGAACATCCGTTTTGAGATAAATATCATGATAATCACCAAAGCTTTTACAAGCAGTTTCTTTTCAAACTGTATGAGCAAAATCGTAGTTCTTTTGAGTTATTGTATAAATTTTCTCATGTTCACATTCTTTGCTTTCACATCCTTGCTCACAATAATTTACTTCATCCAAGTCACTATTAAAATCTTTTCAAAAAGGTAGTTGTATTTCTTTGAATTTGTTTTTACTAGTTAACTACTGATATGAGAATATTCCTTTACATGTAAGCAATGATAATAAATGAGGTGAGATGAATTTTGACATAATTGGAAAACATTTTGCTAATTGTTCTGGTGTTTTAGTTTGGCCTTCTTTTCATCACGTAAGTTTTCTGTCATCTTAACTAAACCAGGTAATGAAAATTTCAAACTATCAATAAATTGAAGTTGACCAACCAAGTAAGTAATATATTGTTCTAAATTATTTGCTATCGGCACTATTTTTTCATTTATCACTTTTGCTATTTCTTGCATAAGATGATGGAAATCATAACCACTTTCATTACAAATTAGTATGGGGATTTTTATTGTTTCTGAATTGATTCATAATTTTAAATTACATCTACTATGAGCTGGTCCTCTAAACTTTCCTGTAATATGGTCATGATCTATTACTCTGTTTTTTTCCTTGTCTGGTAAATGCATTTTACAATACAAACATACCTTACAAGATTTATGTTTTTCTTTTTGCTCATCATATAACTTACTTTGAATTATTAATTTTTTCCCATGACATTTTCTATGCAAAGCACCCAAATATTTTTTGGTTTCAGGATTGAATACACGAATTTTATTATATCCAGCTTTATGTAATTTTTCTTCACATATCCAATATTTGTTTGCAGTTTGATATTTTCACCATAATTCAGGTGGCATTTTTTTACATAAAGCTATTTCATGAAGCTTATCTAAAATAACTTCTAGATCTTCTTGAAGGTTTTCTATTAAGTCTTTTATTATATTTTCTAATTCTCAATTAATCACTAGTTTTTGCATTGTTCTATCTGAACAATAAATAGTATATTTATATGAAACTGCTATCTGCTCTGCTTCTTTTATAGTATTTTCTTCTTTATCTTTTTTATCTGCTTCAATTTCTTTGGCTTCTAAATCCATAGTTATTAAATAAGGTTTCATTAACATGTTTTTGATATACTTGGGTTTTACATAATTCTTACCTTCTTCTGGAAGAATTAAACATTGTGAAGCCTTATTTGGACCTGGACATGTTTCTGTAATAAATCTAATCGACTATATGGAAATTGCAAGCATTTTCAACAAAAGTATTTTTTATCATGATGGTTATTCCACTTATGCATTAATCGCTCAAAATCTGTTATATATACATAATGTGTTTTTAAGCCTTTTGGTATATCATTTTGATTTTTTCGATCATTTAAACTCTCTTCACCTTCTGTTAAATATAATAAATCTATCATATGCTCTATTTGATAATTATGTTCTGAAATATGTAATGGATCTATATCTACTTTTATTTTTCCAAAAGCTTTTCTATAAAATAGTTTAAATATATTGATAGCATAATTAGGATTGCTTTTTTCGAATTTATCTATATTATGGAGTGTTGCTAAAAATTTTATACCTTCAAAATTTGCTATATTTGTATTTCGTCTAAGTCTCCAGATTTCATTAAGATGTGATGGCTTTCTATTAGCTTTTATAGCTTCCTCTCTTGTGTGATATACACTTATATATCATTTAAAACACTCATTATTGTCTCTATTTTGTAGATTAATTATTCCTAGTTGTGGCTTATCTAAAGCTTCTGATAAAGGTAGATAACTACTATCTTGCAATAGTCTGAATGCGCTTATTTCAAGAAATACCTCTTCTGCTCAGACGAATGACTATCCAAATTCTTGTAATGCTTTGTCTTCTATTTGATCTATAATTTTGTTATATTATTTTTCTATTGTTGCATTAATTCGATCTTCTCTAATAATTTCTATTGTTTCATGCTTAAATGGAAAAGTTTTATATAAAGGTTCTGGAGTTTCCAGTTTAATTTTCTTCATATATGCATATAACACAATTCTTACTTTTAATCTACCTTTTAAAGCTAACTCTTTTTTATAAATATCTGCAATTTTTTCTTCGATTGATTCGAAGAAAGCTAATGGCTCACCCTCAGCATAGTATCTTTTTGGTACAAATGCATAATAATCATATATCTCACCTTCATTAAATTTTCTGGCTTCTGCTATTCTATTAATATATGGATTCTTGATTTTTTTGAAATGAATGTCTGGTTCTTCTTCAGCAGTATCATATTCTGAATTACTTGGTTTACTATCTTTTTCATTATCTATTTCTATTAAATCATACTATTCTTTATCATTTTTAGGTATATGCTTTGATCTAATTTTTTTATTGTTTTTTATTTTCAGCTTTGATAACTATTTTATTAATTCATCTATCGTTAAAATTGATTTCTTTTTTTGTTCTTTTTGAGTATTAGAACTTGATCCTGCTTCTGTATTTGGAACATCATCAGTTAAAGGATTGACTGCCTGTGCACTTGTCTCTCTCAGCTGAAGTGTTGGTGGGTTTTCATCGAATGATATGAGATCATCTTTAGGAGTTGCTGGCAGATTTTGCTCTGAAGTAACATTTTCAGTTTGAGGTGTATTTTGCTCTGGAGTAACATTTTCTACATTTTGCATTATAAGCAAAGCTGGTTGGCATTGTCCTTTATGAAAGTTTCCATTTAAATTCATGTGTTTATTAAGATCTCAAGTTTTATCAGTTTTTATTACTCGAACACAACCTGAACATTTAAGTATCTTAGCTATAGTAATATGTTTTTTCAGTATTTTTTATTAATATATCAGATCTTTTGTTTAAATAAAGATTACTATGCTCTGCTTCACTCTGCAACTGCATCGCTCACACCTAAGGTGTATACTCCTTAGTGTTAAAAAACTAATTGTAAATTAAATAGATAACTAATGCAACACTATGCTTTGCATTCAGAGTCACTATGCTCCTCTAGTACAAAAAACTAAATAAAAATCAAATATGATAACTATGCTCTGCTTCACTCCGCAACTGCATTATACACCCTTAGGAGGGTGTACTCCTTAGTAATAGAAAGCTAAATAGCTATTGAAATAAATATCAAAAAAGTACACTAAGCATGTAGTATATATAAAAATACACCATTCATGTAAGTTTTTTAAATGTTATATATAAGTTATATAAGTTATCAAGAATATGTTAAAAACTTGAAAAAAAAACAAGAAAGAATAGTGTTATCAAAAAAAAACACAACTGTGTACCTAAAAAGCCCACTAATTTAATGCTATTTTTTTTTATAAATTAATATTGACTATTTAATATATTATCTTTTTTCATTTTCTGTAAATAGTTGTAAGTTATACTATTATTTAATATATTTTTCTTTTGTTTTTTATTTGTAGAATTAATTCTATTTGTTTTTTATTAGTTGGTTACTATTTTATCATGTTTTTTCTATTATATGTTGACAAGGGTCAACAATTCGAAAACCGGGCTAAGCACAAAATTCGACCCACCGCCAGTGCACGTGACAAACCTACCAATCAAAACGCTGCACCAACACATGATCTACAAGCCATCGCATCAGCCACCAAAACCCAGCTATAAATACACTGTCGAAACTCTAACCAACTCTGACCTGAGGTGCAAAAAATTTTTTTTACGCAACAACATGGAGCAAAACATGACCACTAACTCAAACAATTCAAACAGCACAACACATAGCAACATGCCTACACACATTGATCTTTCCAACATTGATGAAAACACAAAGGCGTATATAGACGCAGCTTGTCAGGCTTCATCAAATGCAATTATATGCAACATTAAGTCATACATTGATCAAACAATGGCAACACAAACAAATCTGATTAATAAGCTAAACAATCGACTAGATACATACCTTAACAACCAGCAAGCTCAAAAAACACCATCTGTCTCCAACAGTTATAGTCAAGAAATCAATTACAACCAAACTAACAAAAATAACTTAGGTCACAATCATGAGTTCAATATTGCTAATCCTCAACATCCAGATGAACAAAGTAGTAACAGTACAAACCAACAAGGTAATTGCCCTCTAACTCCTATTTTAAACAATCTCCTAATCAATTCGAGAGATACTATCACACAAGACAAAGCACATATAACAACTCAGCCAACCCCTCAAACCAACTCAATGATATGTTTAAAATCAACACACCGGAAGTATCCTTCTATTGAATACACTGATATAGAAAATCTCCCACCTGTTCAAGGATTTAATAATCCTCAAGCAGCTCTTATTGAAAGAATTCGTCTTTGGTGGATACTAAACTGGCATGAAGGGCAAAAGGCAATAGAAATGATTCTAAACAAACCAAACCTACCTATACGATTATGGAAAGCGATTGCATTTGGTTCCTATGCGGACCTACATGAATTCACACACAAAAACATAAAACTATTTCTAAAAAACAATGATGAGGATCAAACTCTTACAACAGCTGAAGAAGGCACAATAGCAATTCGTAAACGTAATCAGTCACACAAATTTAATAATATTTCAGAGTGGCTTCTAGCATTCAAATCTTATATGGATGCTGTACTTATAATTTTTGATACCAGAGAACAGGAATTAAACACTTATCGTGATCATATCAATTCTCTCTGCATTAAACAAGAATTTGATGCTGTTCTTACATACGACGAAGATAGGAGATTACACTTAACAATAAATCGAGACACAACCTTACTTGATCGCGACCTTGAAGCTTCAGGCGAAAATTTTGACTCAACAACTACAAAAAGATATCGTTCTACCAACTCTCAACAAACTTTTAAATCTGATATTAGCTGGAACAACGGCAAACAAATATGCATAAACTGGAACAAAAAAGGTTGCCCAGAAGAGCTCAACTGCCAGTGTATCCATGCATGTCTTATTTGCAGAAAGCTTGGCCACCCTGAGCGAAGATGCTTTTACAACAAACCTTCAATTACGAAACATTCAGAAACTCAAAGCTACAATACGAACAAATAAAAAAAAAAAAAAAAAAAAAAAAAAAAAGGGGAGGGGATACAAAAAAAAAAAAAAAAAAAAACTGAGAACGTATTGTAACAGCAACAAAGTTATACTTATCTGTGTAGCATAGTACATAATTGAAAAAAAAAAAAAAAAGCAAGCCAACTTGACCGAACATTGCCACCATCAAACCAACACTATTCTCAAACTAGCACTAACACTTTTACAACACAAACCTACAGGTGACATTATAAGTGAACTTAAAGGCCCTCTCAAATATGCGGCACAATTTAAACTGTCCTGAAACATCACTACCAATGAGCTACCAGTTCTACAATCAGTGAACGAAACTCTTATAGCAATTCCCCCCCCAGATATTCCACTAACTTCTATCGAAGCAAAGCTACTAACTCAACTAGACCCACACATTTTCACCATACAAACACCAATTAATGTCCTAGTATTTCAGTATCTGACAAAACTTCATCCCAACCGACCCTTTATTGAGTATCTCATAAATGGTATCAAGCATGGTTTTAGATTTAACTTTAAAGGGCCTCGAACAAGGCTAATTCAGAACAACTTACAATCAATCGACAACTCACCTGATGCCTTCAACACATATATAAATAATGAACTTAACAACAATCGGATCTGCGGCCCATTTCAGATAAACAACCTCCCATGTGATTTATTTCAAACAAACCCATGTGGCCTAGTAGCAAAAAAAGACACAAATCCTACAGAATACAGAGTGATATCACATCTATCTTCTCCCTCTAATCATAGTATAAATGATAGCATAGATAAATTAGACTTTGTAACAAAATATGAGAATGTGACACATGCGATTCGATGGATTAACTACTTTGGCAAGGGGTGCACTTTGTCCAAGATAGACATAAAAGATGCATATCGAATCATCCCTGTCCATCCAGTAGACCAAATATTACAAGGCATTAAGCATAAAAACAACATATACTTCGACAAAGTTCTTGCTTTCGGAAATAGGGCTTCAGGCGGCATTTTCTGCCGTTTTGCAGATACCATAGCATGGATTGCAGCCCAGCAAGGCATCCCCGCTATAATCCACTATGTTGATGACTTTTTAATTATTTCTCCAACATCTGGCTCACATGAGCTAGGGCAATTCATACGAATCTTGAATATTCTGAATATCCCATACAAAAGCTCGAAGACAGAAGGCCCCAGCACAGCTGTTACTTTCTTGGGTATAACGTTAGACACTATTACTATGTCAGCCTCTATACCTACCCACAAGTGTAACAAAATAACACACATTCTATCACAATGGTTAACTAAAAAATGGTGCTTTCAAAAAGACCTTCAATCATTAGTTGGTCTTCTCATCTGGGCATGCCAAATTATTCCACAGGGTCGCCCTTTCATTCAGCGTTTAATTAAAGCACAAAACGATGTCACTAAATCCAAACATCATATTCGGATAACCAAACCCATGATAGCTGACATCCAATGGTGGTTATCAACGATACAAGTATGGTCAGGCATACAATTAATGCTTGATCAGGACTGGCTTCAACCACACACCTTAAATCTATTTACTGATGCATCAAATATAGGTGGTGGTGCCACATATCAAAGCTACTTTACAGCATTTAATTGGTCTAAATCACTAAATCTTTCCTCAATAAGCATCCAAATTCGCGAACTCTTAACAACCCTTATTGCAGTACAAACATTTGCCCCATTATGGGAAAGGAAAAAATTGATAATCTGGACTGATAACTCAGCCAATGCAGAAACATACTATGCAGGATACTGCAAAAACCCAAACATTAATGAAATTATTGCCAGCTTATACAAAGCCCAAATTATGGGAAATTTTAGCATAAAAGTCAAACACATACCAGGAGCAAAAAACATAAATGCTGACCTACTATCCCGCAATGGGCATCGTGAATTTATTTCCAACAACCCATCAGCCCGATACCTCCAACCTAATATCCCCTCTGAATTTAAAGAACTAATCTCACTTATCCCATCACTTAAACAATAGTGCTAAAGCCCAGCATGCCACTTGCATTACACCAATTACAACCCAGCAACAATGAACCTATTTCCTTTGGTAACCAACCAACCCTAGACAAACAAGCAGCCATCATATTAAACATTTCAGCCCCTATCAACAAATCATATGAATCAATCATCAAGCGTTATGAATTATTAGCTCGCAGAAATAATTGGATAAACCAAAATGGAACTGTATAGCCAGTATCAAAAGACTCTCTCATAAAATATATAACTCTCTTACACAAAACAGTTGCACCACCCACCATTGCTACTTACCTCTCTGCACTAAAACATCATCACTCAAGGAACTACTATGACTGGTCTAACATCCGCAATGACCCTCTAGTTACCCAACTTCTAAAAACCATCGATGCAGCTCATATTCACAAGCCAGTTAAACAAAAAGCACATATCACACGACAACATCTAACATATATTCAAGACAGAATCAACACAAACAACCCACTGGACCTTCTCTTCTGGACAATATCACTGACAGCTTTCTACAGTCTCGCACGCCTAGGCGAACTTTTGCCAAACAACCAAGCCAATGCCAACAAAGTTCCAACATTACACGCCTTGAGCTTTGAGAGGACGAACAACATCACTTTTGCAACAATACAGCTGGCTAAAACTAAGAATCACAAGACAGCAAACAGAGTCTCCCTAATAATAAACCCTACAAACGATTCATTATGCCCTGTATGTGCTCTCAAATCCTATACACAAGTGCGCACACAATCTTACTATGCCAAAAATAGCATGATGCTGTTCGTAAAGCCTGATGGCACGTGGGCAACAAAGCAATGGTTCATAACAAAGCTCAAGCAACTCCTTCCCCATGAGGATGTTGCAGGGCACAGTTTTCGAGCTGGAGGCACTACTGAATTAGTCATGCGAGGTATCCAGCTTGTACTAATACAAAAAATCGGCAGATGGAACTCTGAATCATTTTACAGATATATACGCGACCATCCAGCTACTATCGCATCTATTCTAACCAAAGCATACCTTAATTGACCCTTCTACAACAACTTGGAACAAAGCCAGCTCAATTAACATATAAAACAATACAATTGCAAAATCCGGATATAAAAAAAAAAAAAAAAAAAAAGAAGAGATAAAAGATAAAGCGCTACATACAAATAACAACAGCAGAATGACATTAAAAAAAAAAAAAAAAAAAAACCACACAAGTAAAAGAAGAGAAGTGGATATAGCCAAGAACAAATAAAGAAACATCTAGCACTACACCTAACTCGAGACAGCACGGCCCACAGCAAACACGACAAGTCTAGCTATCTCGATGAGCCAACGTCAGCTCAGCTCAACAAAGAACCAACTTGCACGAACTAGCAACATAACTTCCAATCACCCGGCATCTGAGTATACAGTTGAGAAAAGGGCATAAAGCCCACACAACCCAATATCACGCCCCAAATTTGTTTATTTTCTTCTCATTGGCTACACTACTTTCTCACCCCCCCCAGCATGCAGATAATACTAATAAAATAAAGAACAAAAATTACATACACATATACATATGAGAATAATAATTGATACAATAATAACAACAATTATAAAGAAATGGTACTAACATAACAACAGGACAACGAACACAAAAGACCCACAGAACGACAGAACCACACAATTTTGGAGCTGTCACCTGATTCTGCCATTCTAACAGCCAGCCTGCACTGGCAGGCGGGAAACCACCGGCTGAATGTATATAACTATGCTAATAATGCTCATCTAATTCCCACCTGGTCTGTTACAATGATTCCCAGCCTATTGATAACTTTCGGGTCAAATCATTGTTTCAGTTCCTATTATTCTTCACATTGTTGATCACTATGTCTATTTCCAATAAAATTATCTCCAGCTTTATTCCGGCTGGCTTTGCCCATACTAATTTTGAGCGTGTCAATGTTTTTCGTATATGTTGACAAGGGTCAACAATTCGAAAACCGGGCTAAGCACAAAATTCGACCCACCGCCAGTGCACGTGACAA